CTTGTGTCCAGCAGGAACACTTTATGAACAACATTTGCATATTCACAGATTCTGGAAGTTTTAATGACCTATAAGAAGTAAATGACTATTTGTAGAATGTGGTAATTATACTTGTGTAAAAACATAGACACATTATTGTTACAAGCAAACTGTATTGTCTGAATACATATTATAGGAAAATATATATTTTTGTATTCTATGTATAGCTAAAGCTTTGAGGCAGTACATGAAGGACATTTCAGGGATGTTGTTTTTTTGACGTTTGGCTCAACATTCTGCACAGGAAACGTCAATGGTCAAATTTGTGGAGAAACTGCAGTAATAAGGTCGCACTGGATTCACAGGGACTGGCTGAATTTGCTTTAATTGTTGGATCACAACTACTGCTGATTTAAGGTGGCGCTCATATAACAATCTAGCTGCCAGAAACTGGAGAAGACATGGGGAGAGGTGGAAAGCTTTGAGATAGTGCAGTTTATATCTGGGGGAAGACAGTTTCTTAGAACACATTATCATCAAATTAGAAACTAATTGCCCACAAATTCCTCTTTGATAAACAAGTGCCTCTTCAAAAAGTAAAAAAATGGTATTGACAGGGTTTCAATGAAACTAAACCAATAAACAAAATAAAGCCTTCTGGCTGTAGGTAATCATTAGGCAAGAAAACTCTGCCCTGATGCAGGTAACTAAGTATAAGGGGTTCTATATTCACTTCCAGAATACTAAAAATCACTTATCACTCATTAAGAAACAAGAGAGACCACAGAGAGACCAGAGTTTCTGTCTGACTGATCTGCAGTAAGTTGATGAAGGATTGGCGGGCTCTGAATGTGCAGTTTCCAACCTCTCTTATGCCTTAAAGAATGGGCGTCATCACACCCTTATTGGCCAAGAGGGGAATGCACCCAGCTGCTCCCAATCATGGTTGAGGAGTCAGTCCCCACACCCTGAGGAATGTTGAGATTGAGCTAAAATTAATTGGGCAAAATGAAAATTAAATGGAAGCAAATATGAAATAATGAGGGACTGCTACAACTGTTGAGAAAGGATTTTCATCTGTCTGCTGGGAGAATATCACCTCCAGACTCCATCAGGTTATGACAGACATTTACTGTTTGTGGAAATAGAGACCCAGTTTACACCATAGCTGCTGCTTCATTTAGTAGTCATCACTTTAAGGGATGGGTCACCCATTTTAAATGTGTCTTGTAGAATAGAGAGGCATTGACAGGGCAATATGACTTCTGGTCATTGAGCTACTCTAAAACAAATGACTCAACATGTAAAGTCATTAAACATACAGTAAAGTAATATCATGCAATAACTGAGTGCAGTCACAGGTGTTATTGTTATGCTAATTTTCTTATAAACCTGTGCTGTACTATATGCACCTAGACAATTGTATAATTATGGTTTGTGTGTATTGTTTAATTCCTCCTTTCGTTTAGCTAATGAACAACAAATACTGGGATTGGTGTAATAAATATTAGATTCAATATTTTATTGTGAGGTACTTTAAAGCTCCACTAATCAGTATTTTATGTGAGTAATGGATGGCATTTCTATATGTGATGTCAAAGGGGTCACCTGCAATTACAAACCAACAGAGAATTATAAACCCATTGCAGTTTTGTCAGATCTACTGAGGTTTTTAGCCTCTTTCAGCATTTTTTTCTTGATTATTTTGGTTCTGCAGCGTGGCTAGTGATAGTCTTATATCTAGATCCAGATATGAATTAATACCCACATTTATGTGTCTGTTAGCCACATCCCAAAGCTTATTTCAATTCAATTCAGTTAAATTCAATTCAATTCAATTCAATTTCAAAAGTTATCTCAGGACACTTTTCATATAAAGCAGGTCTAGACTGCACTCCTTTTTATAAAATTACCTCAAGGGGAAATTCACAGCAAGTCAACGTGTAAAATGAAGTCTCAGATGGTTCATTTACATGCATCGAGCTCTGCACTTAATACACGGACATTAGACTC